AGGATGACATAATTTTTACTGGTTCATTCACTAAAACTTTGTATTTAATCTTTAACCAATACTATAAAATCTTTGTAAAAATTTAGTCATAAAGTAGATTATCTTATTACAGAAGTTTTATTATTTTAACACATAATTTACATTATTCTAACACATAAAGTACATTATTTTAACTCATAATCTACATTATTCTAACTCGTAAAAATCAATGACGTTATTTTAGACTGTAATTCACACAGCTGTGTGAACCACGCTACACAATAATTTGCCTGAAAATTTTCCTTGGATCAGGGAAAACATTGCCAACTTGTCACCCACGTAGTATGGGGTTCCACGTGCCATGCACACTTGGTAGATGGGGCGCCACGCAAACCCACGAGCTATAAATGTTTTGATAAGAACAGATTCCTCAGGTGTATGTGAGGTAACTCGAACCTCATCATCAATTCATCATGCACTGCATTGGTCTCCGTCTGTATGTTCCGATGAATTTTCAAATGTTGGCTGTCACTGTTTCATCATTTTTAGTGAGGAGGGAAACCTAAGATTAGTGTCAAAGAGTGTATATTGAATACTTATATATAATAATTCATAAGATTATACTAAGAGAACCTGGTGTGACGAACTTAATCGAAAACGTATGGTAAGAAAGTTACCGTTTCATCTTGACCCCAAGCGTTGCTATTTTTATTTTTTATATTATTATCAAAAACTTTATTTTTTCAATTTTTGTTAACATTTCAGTTCTTTATTTCCAAATTATTAGAGAAATATGTATGCGCGCGCGCGCACACACACACACACACACACACACACACACACACACACACACACACACACACATATATATATATATATATATATATATACTGATTCAAATGAGGATTAGTTTTTCGTGCGGCCGGTGCAGATTGCACCATTAGGTATGCATAAATATATTACACAGTATTTAAAAATGCACCAGAATGAAATGCACAAATGTACCATACACCAAAAAAAAAACAACACCTAATGATGTATTTTCAAACACTTTGTGGTGCATTTGTGTACCTAATGGTGCATGCCCGCATAGGAAGCACTGTGCGCACGGGAACCTGATCATATACTCAATACAGGAAGAAAATTTGTTGTGTCATATTATAATTAACCATTTAAAATTTTAAATTAAGCTAGAAAGAACACATTTCAATTTAGTACATACCAATAATGTAATCAAAATGTTGGTTTGATCTATTACATATATACAATATTTGTGGCAAATATTTGGGATAGTGATGGTTTTACATATGTGGCCCTTCGTACGAGTAAAGAAACATTATTCCATTGATTAAATTATTGCTCGAATTTACTAAAATAATGATTCTACATTATCCTTAACAAATTTTATATACACACACGCGCAATTATTAAACGCTTTATCAAGATGTCACTCATGATCAATCAATGATATAACATAAATATATGCTGTATATATAATATATCTATGTTACACAGGTGTTGGAGTGTAGTGGAGTACTGGAGTGACAATACCTATCTACAAGTGTTAAGTGTAGTGGAATGACAACGCCTCTACAGGTGTCGGACTGTGGTATAGTGGAGTGACAACACCTATTTTTAGGGTCCACTAAGTGGGTCGAGGTCAGGGGCAACGTTCTTAGGCGATACAATATATATATATATACTAGTATTTTTTATGCGCGATGCGCAAAATATAGGTGCTCAATATTAGTACTTTATATTAAAAATTTTAAATTTATTTAGATTTTAGATATTTAAATTATTGTAAATAATAATAATAATAATAATAATAATAATAATAATAATAATAATAATGTAAAACATTTTTATAAAATTGATATTTATAGTTTAGAAAATAACTAACATATAACTCCAATATATAATGTGTATATATAATTGAAGAATATAAGAAAATATATGGTGGATGCATGTGCTTGGTAACAATAATGGAAAAGATAACGAAAGTTATAACGGTAAGGGTATGTTTGTCCAAAATATTGTAAAGTACAACTTTTATAGCATAATGTATATAAAAACTTAATGGAAAAAAGAGACATAAATGAAGAGTATAACTTTCATTCACACTTATTATGTTTTTGGATATATATATATATATATATATATATATATATATATATATATATATATATATATATATATATATATATATATATGTGTGTGTGTGTGTGTGTTTGTGTGTGTGTGTGTGTGTGTGTAATTTTTTAAATGTATCGTATATTAAAATTATAAATAAATATGATGCTTATAACCTTAAATGGGAATGATTACGTACAATTAATAAAAGAACTGTTTCGTTCCCGTGATGTATGCACCATGTGAAACCACATAAATCTTGTGCGTATGTTCTTCTTTCATTTATGTCTTTATTTTTAATTTTTTGATCTCATTTTTCTAAACACTATATAATTTAGCTTATGTACTATATTATAATAATAATAATAATAATAATAATAATAATAATAATAATAATAACAGAAAAAAGGCTTTCGATGAACTATATTTACAAGTAAATTGGTTATACTATACATTGGGACAATTAATGATTATTGGTTTGGTAAATATAAAGTTACAATTCTACTCTGATTTATCTTCTTAGAGTCCTTCACTTACGTAATTTCAGAGGATGAACTATAATTTATAAGCATTTGGCTCCCTTGATTTGCAAAGGCAATCAACTAAAGGTTTTCCATAAATCAAAGTAAATTGGTCATAAAGGGGAGTGGGGACCAGATTTAATTTGCCACAGATCACATGCAAAATTTTCTTTGAATATGGATTACATCAAACAGCAGAGATTCATCATCATATTTAGAGTGTAAACACCTATCAAATCAATAATCTTTCACAGTCCAAATTGGTAGTCAGATTCCACACCCAACAACCACACATAAAAGTCATGTTTTTTTTCAGACCATTCATGGGACATGGCCCCAGATCTGTATCATTTGACAGCAGGCTAGGCTGACATGTCAAGTGTATTTCCAATGTGGCCTCCCAGGGAGTTGCTATCTTCATCCAGACTTCTGCTTCTGCACATTCCACACATGCCACACATGCCAGCCATGTGGTGGAGTGTGAGCAAAATGGTGCCTCTTTACTCTTTCCTTTATAAAACACCACAGATCTCTCATCTCTGCCACCCAGGCCCCTTCACATTCATTCCCAAATCCACCATTGTATTTCTAGCCTTCATCTTCTAAACCATTTCCCAGTTTTCTCACTCTCTGAACAACAGAAGAGAATATAATGTCCACTGTTCTCAAGATTACTCTTGATGGGCTAATGAGGTACAGGAAGAAGCAAAGTGATGGAGGCTATGAGTATGCTCCTGCAGCCTCCTTGGAGGGCGACGATGATGACGATGGCGGCTATGATTATGCTCCAGCTGCATGAAATATTTGTGTGTTTGGTGCACATTGTCACAAATCTGTGGGTATTATTAGAGAGATTTATTTACCCGATTGAGTTTTTCGTTAATAAATTTGATTTTTCTTGTAGTGAAGTAGTATGTAGTTCAGTGAGGGGATAAGAGGAATGAGAGACTTGGGTACAAGCTAAATGTAGTGTATTCAGGATAGCCAGTGGAAGTACTTTATTGGTTTAGTAATATTCACATGCAATATATATAATAGGTCTTTCTGTCATTAGTTGAAAGCTCTTGTTCTATTGATGCCGTAGTTTATTGTCACTTTTGAATTAAATAAAATTGAAACTTATGTTGTTTTCCAATTCTTAAAAGTACTAGTAGGTGCGCCCGCGCGATGCGCGGCTATATATATAGTATGACATATATACATTATAATATAATTAGATGAAAAAATGTATAGTTTGAAAACCTAATAAATTTGAAATAATAAACTTTGTAATTTTATGATCACTCATGTATTGATTAAAGTTATCTACCACATCCAATGTTGGAGTCAAAATAACACTGTTCTTAAGATATGACAGATCACTTATACCGCGTCGAAACAAAGGAAATGTGTTATCAACAATTACAGCAATACGATCATCGTCACACTTGAGCAATAAGTGATCTGGAATTATAATATCTGCTTCACTATCAGTTGAATTACCAACTACTCCATCACCTATATTAGCTATCCATTTTGCAAACTCTTTAATCTCTTTAGCCTCAATCTATGATTGTACACTTCTTAGGCGTAGATTCTTAGTTAGCCTAAATACTTTACAGGATCTCCAAATATATGAGGAATTGATGCTTGCCCCAACAATATCTTGTCTTGTGATTACCTTAATTAATTGTTTGAACCTATTTAGCTTTATTAAATATATATACTATTAATATACATAAAATAATGCGTATTCAGTGAAATACACTGTTACTATACGGTATTAATATACATAATATAATATATATGTTTAATAATGGAATATGGGCCATGAATAACAAATACACTATTAATATACACGTAATACATTAATTTTAAAGAATGAAGTAGATTTATGTCAAATACATGATTGAAAGAATAAAAGTACATTATGGTATATATCTTATCAAACAATGTATATTTAGTAATTTTAAACATGTAGATTTTACAAATTATGCCGTGGAAACGTGTTCACCATGCTTGGTGAACACGGTCCCAAATGACATCGTTTTTATCGGAAAAAAAAATTTAATTAATGTGCTGTTAATGACGTTCCACAAAATTTCAGTGTATGACATAATGATTGTGTAGATTTAGTGTATTTAAAATGTACACGATATTCAGAATCCACACAACTAATTGCACCATTATACAACAAAATTTTACACTTAAATAATCAGGCTAATTAATATAATTAAACAATCAGACCTATCTATATTATAAAACAATACAATATATACTTAAAAATCCAAGCCCAAGCCGGTGGCCCAATCTTATGACCCAATCCAAATTTCTGACCCGACCCAACGCCCTGGAATATTTAATCGATTTTGGCTTCATCTCTGATCTAGAGCGGACGCTTCGCCTTCTTTATCCTCTCTCTCCTCTCTCTCGAACATTCTCCCGTTCTCTGTCTCTTGGTCCGAATGTCTCCAATCCAACCTATAATCTCAGCTCTACGACCAATAATCGTTCTCTACATCAGTCTTTCACTTGTACTATAAAATCGCGAGGTTGATTTCAAACCCAAATTTCAGAAAACCTATGAGATAAGTTATCTGGTCTATCTATTTTATACTGACTTTTTCGACTAATTATTTCGATTTTCTTGCCTATTTTGTTGCTCATGTTAGTTTAAGATTAGATTAGTGTTTTCCTATGTACATCAAATAGGGTGATTTGGTTCAAAAGCTGTTTATTTAAACTCTAGACCTTTATGCTATATTTTGGTGATTTGGTTCAATGTTCTGTGGATCATGTATGTTTAATTATAGTTCTTTATTAGAAACTGGGAATATAAATTCCTGTTTATTGAGCATGAATTCTGTAGTTCATGTATCCTATCCTAAGTTGTAAACTGATACTAACTAATTTAACAACTACTAATTCTTGCAGCTTAATGCAATTTCAAAAATAATTGATTCAGAAGATGAAGGCTAAACATCAGAAGGTAGTTAAAGAAATGTAAAGACTGTTAATGTAACATGCATACATCAAGTAAGAGTTCTAATTGTACCTTTGTTGTCAATACACTGCTTCTTGATGCTTTGATTTGCCTTATATCGTTGATGTTGTTAGCTAATTTTTTATGGTCAGCATGTATTTGAGATGTATGAAGCCTGATAGTTGCATTATGTAGTTTTCTGATTTTATATTCATTAATTACATTTGTCAAAAAGCTTTTCACTAAACCATTAACATGATGACAATTCATTTTTTCCTTGAAATTGCTATCAATGTGTGCTACATAATTTCTTCATTAAACAATTGTGTTCCCAATTTTGCCTTATTTTAGATTATTTAAAGATTACTCACTTGTTTGTTTTCAGATTTTGACAAATGATGAATCCCAATTCTGATGCCAAATATTTTTCAGTTTTTTATCATTTCAGTTTGTACGTGTACACAGTTGATAGTTAGATGGGCCAAGTCTTCTGTAGTTGTAGTATATTGTGTAAATTTTGTAATTTTTTCTTTTGTTGAAGAGTAATGTAGCTATCAGACAATTTTTGTTAATGGTTTTGTAAACTTAATTTAAAGTTGATGTTTGGTATCATTCAATAACTTTTTTGACTTGAAAACATTCTTGAAAGTATGTAAATTATAAATTTAGTGATTTTTAAATTTAGATTGTATTTTTTCCAACATCAGTTCTTCCATTTGGAACTGATAGTTGCTAACAAACCATTTTCTTAATTTACTGCTGATTAACCACTGTAACCTAGCATTAGTCCAGATTAGTCTGTTACCCTTTTTTGTAACTTACATTTTTTAAGGTGGACATATGTTTATTTACTTAGAAAACATTCTTTTAAGTATTTTATTTTCAATTTAGTGATTTTTAACATAAGATTATATTTTTTCCAATCAAAGTGGTAGTCATTTTGAACTGATAGTGGCTATAACCAAACCATAAGCTCTATAAGTTATGTAATGGTCTGATAGTCAAACTTAAAATGTAATGGTCTGATAGTAAAATCAATACCATTTATTTATTCTTTCAATTTTTAACCAACAGTTTTCTTTAAAGGTCTTTTATAAGGTAGACAGATGTTTTTTGATTTGGAAACATTCTTCTAAGTATTTTCTTTTCAATTTAGGCATTTTGCATTGGGATTATATTTTGATTTAACAAATTCACAATTTTTAGTTATTTATTTTTTTTTTTTTGAAGTCCAGACATGTTTATTCCTGCAAACACAGTTTTTAATTTGTTTTGCACAATTTGTTTTTAATTTGTTATTTTAAAGTCCAGACTTAACAAATTGCAATGTTAATTGTTATATAAATAGATACATATTATAATTTTGTGGTTTGCTTTATGTGATTTGTAATTTTGTGCAGTTATTTTATGTAGACTGTACATCAGCACTGGTTTGTTAGCAGCTGATTGTTTTCAATGCAAGTTCTTGACCAGTTTCCATTACACTTGTTCTGTAATGGTCTGATAGTAAAATCAATACCATTTATTTATTCTTCCAGTTTTTAACTTTATTTTTTAACCAACAGTTTTTTTAAAGGTATTTTATAAGGTAGATGTTTTTTGATTTGAAAACATTCTAAGTATTCTCTTTTCAATTTAGGCATTTTACATTGGGATTATATTTTGATTTAACAAATTCACACTTTCTAGTTTGTTTTTTTTTTTTAAGTCCAGACATGTTTATTCCTGCAAACACAGTTTTTAATTTGTTTTGCACAATTTGTTTTTAATTTGTTATTTTAAAGTCCAGACTTAACAAATTGCAATGTTAATCGTTATATAAATAGATACATATTATATTTTTGTGATTTGCCTTGACCTGTTTTCCATTACACTTGTTCCTTTTTTTTTTCTTGGAATCTTTAGAAAATATTTATTTTAGAAACAGGCAACTCGCAAGACTCAAAATATTTTCTTCTAATTTTTTTTTTTGAATATTTCTTTCTTCTATTTAATACAAAATATCTCATGTGTTTTTGTTGAAGTTAATAGATGGCAGAAAACGTGCACGTTTTCAAAGGTAGTGATAATAGTCAATGAAATAGGCATGGATGTCACTTTACAATGTTCTTTCATTTCATGCAGGCTATTATCTATAAAATAGTAGGATATGTGGTTCAAAATGAGAGCTTGATATCCAGCGCTTCCCGAGTAAGTGTAAACTTATTCCCTACTTGTATTTAGAAATTTACAATTTGCATGTGTTTTATATACATAAATCTCATCTTATAAGTTAGCTTTACACAGTAAAGTTGTGTACACTTTAGGAAATAATAAAGTTGTTAGAGAAAAGCTATTGTCTACATAATATTGGTGGCATGTTTTATGACTAATACACAATATTGGTGGCCTGCTTTATGACTATATTCTTCAATAAAGTCCTGATTTTGCCTCAATCACCTCAAGATCATGGAATGTTCTCCTTACATCATTTTACCTACAAAACAATGTATTAATTACATATTGATATTAGAATTGATATTACCTACAAAACAATGTATTAATTACATATTGATATTAGAATTGGTAATAAAAATGAAGCTTTAATACCATTTTGGATTTCAAATGTATTCATCTTCACTGCCTTGTTGGAGTACATCCTACAACATTTCGAAGTGACAGAAACCAATAGTCTAATACAAAAAATAAATAAAGAAATAGAAAAGAAATCAAACATGAATATAGGATTAATTGAAAAAATTAAATTATGTAGCTAATTAGTTTTGTTCACATGTTTGAATTGATGTCAATAGTCTACTGTATGTCCATAGTTAAGCAATGTGATACAACTAATTTGAGTTATATATATTTTACAATTTATATGTAGGTATTGTTTTAATTCTTAGTCTACTGTATGTCTATAGTTAAGCCATGTGATACAGTACCAAAAGGAATCCTTACTCTAGATCCATAGTTGGTGTAACCTTGGAGGTCATTCAGAAGAAGAGAGCTGAAAAAACAGAAGCCAGGGATGCTGTTAGGGAGGGCGGGAGGCTGCACTCAGGTACCTTCAATAGTTGCTTCTTTCTAGCTAAAAATTTGTCTGATCATTCCCAGAAGAGTAAATAGATTAGTACAAAAAAAACATATTAGATTAGTTTAATAACAAAAAATAAACAGTATTTAATTAGTATACTATTAGTATAATAAAACAGATTAGTATTAAGAATAAATAAATAAAAAGATTATAAACCAAAAAACTGAAAACAGATACAATTCAAGAAACAGATTTCTTTCTACATTGTGAAGATTACATTGTGAAAGGCATAATGAAAATACCCCATCTAGAGTACCAATTTTTTTCTACATTGTGCAATTCAATATCATGGAAAACTAAAGTGTTTCTATACTGCATAAATATTTAAAATGAAGGAAGTTCATATAGTAAAACTTTTACAATTATTTCAATTCTTCATGAGATAGAGCTGCTTTAAAATGATATAAAAGAAAACAATGATAATCACCTCTTGTTTGCTGATCTTTCTTTTGTGCTTCAATGTAGATGTAGAGGAAAAGCTGAGAAATTTGAAAAAAAAAAAAAAAAAATTACTTTCAAGATAAACATGATAAAGATAGATAGAGAAGGATTAAATAAGTGGTAACAACCATTTTTGAAGTAAGGTATGCTCAGAACTATACCTTTAATTTTTCTGAATATACATTGCAATCCTCAACTGCAATGCTTTTCAAGTTCAAGCTGAATGACTTCCCCAACACCCATGAATACCAGCATGGTCTGCAATCAACTTCCGAATCTCTACCTCATCCATGTACTGAGATGGCATGGTATCTTCGCTGCTGTTTTTTGTCTTTTCTTTGTGTATTTGCAGGTGGTTCGAAGTGGATAGATGGTGAATTTGGGACTGCAGATTGCTATCATGGGAGCTTTATATAGAGGCTGAACAGTGACTTTTCGAATTTGAACTGTCTTAGAAATATGAAAGGCTGATCAAAACGTTTCATAGTCCAAGATTACATTCATTATGCTTATGTTCTCGATGTATTTATTATTCTGAATATTGGGTGATGTTCCAAGATAAATTACCTAGAATACTGATATGCAATGTGAACATCAATAAATGCGCACTGATTCATTTAGGCTATTAAAACGGCACCGTTTGCATTGGGCGGGAAACAATGATTGGCAAAACTTCTTGCTTTATTATAGAGTTATATTAGATTATGTTTTTTTTTTTTTTTTTTTTTTTTTTTTGTTAAGTAATAAGCATTTTATTCCTGATTTAATATTACATTTATTAATATAAGTATTACATTTACATATTGACTCGACCCCGTCAACTCGTCTCAAATTCGTGAGACGGTCGCACACCAAGTGTTACCCAAATTATATTTCTACCAACCATCATATTAAGAAACATCAAATTGTACCAAAAGGATGACCACTGGTGAGTGAAACATTATTTTCGTATTAAAATATTACGAGTTTAATATTTGTGAACATCTTTTCAGTCAAGCGCCCATCGCATAGGATATTTATAGTACGATTTACATCTCCTATGTAGTTTGTAGTCTTAACAATTATTATATAAGAATGGAATTTATCATGTATATACACCATCAGATTGTGACAAAAGTTTTCCTTATATTACCCCTTTTTTTTTGTAAATAAATTTTCCTTACCTAGTGCTCACCTTCTAATAATTGTTATAGGTTTCTCTCATCGTTAAAGAAAAAACAAAAAAAGAACAACATTATCAGATTTATATCAATACTTAGTCCTGATATTCAATTATATATATTGTTTATTCGTCATGGATTATATCTTGGCCACTGTTGCCTACTAGTGGTACAACTTGAAGCCATATAATTTTAAATTAATTAGCTAAAAAATCCAAAAAATAACAACAAAAGCAACATAGATTCCTCAATATTCATCCTGAGCATGTGTAGAGGGAACAACATTCGGAGTCTCCAATTTTCTAGGGCTCGATTTTTTTTTTTTTTGATTAATTTAAAACTTTTTTTTAAGGGAGGATTTAATATTTTTAATCAATATGCGCCCTACACCTTATCGCATTATGCCTACTGATAATTTAATAATAAATATATTTTGTTTAATATATAATTTAAAAGTTATGATTTAATATTTTAATATATCTTGTTACCTATTAATGTTAATAGCTTTATGCAAACCTACAAAATAATTTAAAGGGTCATTGTATTGTGGACCGCAGTGCACGTGCATCGCAGTTAAAATGACGCCGTTTCTTTAAGTAAAGACAATACTGGAAATTATGAAATTTCCGACCACCTGAAAGTGATCTTAAATCAAGTCGAAAGCTTTGTTCCGACCACTTTTAGTATCCGGAAAAACTTTTGTTGCTATTTTCGACCACTTTTTGGTATCAACTTGATTTAAGATCACTTTCAGGTGGTCGGAAATTCTATAATTTTCAATAGTGAGAAACGGTGCGCCGTTAGAGTTAACGGAGCACGTATTTTTTGGTGTATTAATTACCAACTGACATTACAATGCATCTTAATCGACACTGCCTCACGTATTATTTTATATCAATGTTGCAAAAATCGCGCCTAGGCGCTAGGCGCCGCCCGGCAGCGGACGATTCGGTCGGAATCGGCCTCCTCCGCGGCCGGGCCGGCCGTTTAATTTGTGTGTGTGTGTTGTAAAGTGTTAAAAGTTTAGGAAGACATAACTTTTTGACTCGGTTGTCCGTTTTGGACAATTTTTTTTTTCAAATCGGGTATTTTTTCGAGATCTATAGACCACAAATGGCCAAAGGCGGTTTGGCCTTCTAATTTCTCCAAAAAATGCTTCTTTTGCTCTTAATTTTAATTTTTTTTTTATGTATTTAGATGGTTTCAACAATATTCAAAACGATTTTACAACCACTTACGTAAATAATTTGTAAGAAAAAACTAGAGGAACCTTATGTTTTACTATTGAATTTTAAAATTTTTAGTTTAAATTTTATTTTTTTATTTTTAAAAAAATAAATAAATAAATCGGCGCCTAGGCGCCCCTTGGCGCCTAACGTTTTTTTTCAACCTTCTTTAATATATTATCAAATAAAACTGCAGTTATATCAAAATGATACTGTAGTTGTGGTGAAATGAAATTGCATGCAGTGTATATAAAATGAAACTGAATAATATTTCACATATTTGAGTGTATATTGTGCAATGAAGCTGTAGTTATATCGAAATGATCATGTAGTTGTGTTTTAATGAAACTATAGTGTATATAAAATAAAATTAAATAACATTTTCACATATTTGAGTGTATAAATATCGAATGAAACTATAGTTATATCGAAATGAAATTGTAGTTGTGTTGAACTGAAACTGCAGTGTATACAATGAAACTGAATAACAGAGTTACTTTTTGCGGAACGGCGTGAAACGAATGCCGTTTCTTTTCATTAAACAAAACGACGTCGTTTTAAAACTCGGTGCATAATCGATTATGCACCGCGGTGCACGATATAGTTTGCCTAATCCAAATGAGTTGTTATCTAAACACTACTATTTCATACGGAATATTATTGATTATTCTCATTATTATTTTTTATTGAAAAGGAAAATCCGCAATCGCTACCAGGTGGTGTAGTGTAATAGATAACACTGGATTGTAAAATTCTTTACTTGGCGACTAAACAGTATCTATACTTTTTCATTTTAAATTTTTGAATCAAAAGTTTTTGTCCCATTTTTATCACTGTTCTTTTTCTTATAACACTAATTTGAATTTGACTTGGATTGCACCTACAAGTAAAGTTTAACTCTTACGTATTACTCTGAGTTAACCTTGTGACTCTTACATAAAACTTAGAGTTGACTTTGTAGTTGCGTTAACATTAACTTACCAACTGTTGCAACGATACGCACTACACGTAAATTTCTAGAACGGTACTCAAAACATCATACGAGACTCATAAACGTCAAACGGGGCACAACAGGACACGGGGAAACGTCAAAGTTAACCTTACGACTCTTGCATAAAACTTATAGTTGACCTTACAGTTGCGTTAACACTAACTTACCAACTGTTGCAAGTTGGCGTGTTCTTATTTATCATCTTTGATATTTCTCTTCACATTTAATCACAATTAGAGCACTTAAAATGCTCTAAAAATCAACCAAAATAACACCTTCACCGTATCCTCCACAAACAAGACCCAAGAGGCCAAGATCTCAAAGTCTTGAACAAAAAGATTCAACAAGAACTTCCAAAAGCTCAGTCAGGATTGAGGACAATAGATTAATGGGAAAATGGACTTCCAACTATATTTAGTAAATTTTGGATTTATGGGATGTGGGCAGGTGGGGGATGGACCAGATGAGCCACATGCATGTAAAATTATCTTTAAATATGGATTAAGTCAAACTTAACAAATCCATACTTTATAAGTACCAATCACACCCATCTTCCACATACTAAAGATTAGGCTCCAGTTTGACCACTTGAAATTGGACCGGACCTTCCCCTGAACAAAAGCGCGGACCACACTGAAAGATTAAATCCGATTAGTTAGTCTAACACATGGCTTTATAAACCCATATATTTTCTTAATTTTTCAAAGTAGGATTCTTAACAACATCCATCTTCCACATTCCAATTGGTAATCACTAACAAGATTCCACACACAAAAGTCTCATATTTTTTCAGACCATTCATGGGAAATGGCCCCAGAAGATGCTCTGCTCTGTAACCTTTGCCAGCAAGCAGTCTGACATGTCAAGTGCATTTCCAATGTGGCTGCCCAACAAGTTCCCATCTTCATCCAGGCTTCTGCTTCTGCACATTCCTCTGCTCACATTCCACACTCCACACATGCCACCCATACGCCGGCGTGGGCAAAATGGTGGCTCTTTCCTTTATAAAACAGCACATCACTCGCTTCCCCTTCATATTCATTCACAAACTGAGCATTAGTAGCCTTCATCTTCTAAACCATATTCCACTGTTCTCATTGTCTGAACAAGAGAAGAGAAGAGAATGTCCACTGTTCTCGAGATTGCTTTTGGGCCGAGGTACAAGAAACGAAGCGATGGAGATCACAATGATGATAGATATGCACCAGCAGCATGCTTAGAGGCAGGTGGTGACGATGACGATGGAGATTATGACTATGCTCCCGCAGCCTCATTGGAGGGCGATGACGACGATGATGGCTATGATTATGCTCCAGCTGCATGAAATATTAGTTTAATGTTAGGGGCACATTAATGCCAATGACATGCTGCAATAACTAGCAGTGTTTAGGCAGTAGTATTTTAATTAGTGAGGAGTAACAACAAAGGCAGACTTGGCTACAAGCTAAATCTAGTGTATTCAAGATAACCAGATAGGTTTTTCTATTGTTAGTTGAAAGCCCTTTTTGTGTTGATGACATAGTTTATTGTCATTTTAGAAATCCTAATGATATATGCATTGTCAAAGAAAGTGATGTTATATGTTATGATTGCCACCATTAAATTATATTATATTCCTACCAAACATCATGTGGTATAGTAATTAATAATACATAGTCCTTAGAACTATATTGTTTATTCATTGTGGATTTGTTGGTAAGTGTTGCCTGCTAGTGGCACAACATGAAGGCATATATTTGAAATCAATTAGCTAAAAACAGAAAGAAAAGAACATGTCTGATAGCTTACTGCCAATAATTCATCACCACTGCCCTTTCACCCAAAAGATGCTCCAACTTAATTGGCTTTTCAATTTTTGTTGTTTACAAGCTATAAGAATATAAAATTTTCTACTAGTCCAGTCAAAACGAAAGTGAGTACCTCATTGGTGTCTGCAACCCACTTCTCATGTGCTCAAGTGATGATACTAAGTTTTGAAATTCCTGAAAAAATGTCTGGTGATTGTAGAACAGTACGTTTCCTTCATTTCAGAGTAATTGTGAACTAATGTATGGCCATCAGCCTCAATGTAACTGCAACCCTGGCAAACTTCTAAAGACACAGAGCATTATAAGAATAAAAAATAGATTATGTTTCATATGGAGAAAGCATTTCTAGTCAACATATATCCTATAAGTATTCAACCATATAGATGGTGTATCCAAAACGTAACCAGAACAGTGCAAGGACCTAAGTTTAAATAGTCCACATTCCATTAAGGTGTCCATGTTCCATTAAGGTGGGCATTGCACCAAATGAATGTTCCAATCCCAACACATGGCCATTAATTTGGCCTAAAAACTCCAAAAGCTCAGTGTGGACAGGAGAATAATCGGAAAAAGAACTTTCAACTATATTTTAGTAAATTGGTCTTATGGGGGCTGGGGAGTGGGGACCAAATGAGCCTCATCACAAGCAACATTTTCTTTCAATATGGATTAAATTAAACAGATTCATATTGAGACAGTACCTATCATATTATTCATATCTATCTTCCACTGATCCATTTGGTAATCAGATTCCACACAGAAAAGTGTCATTTTTTTCAGACCATTCATGGCACATGGCCCCAGAAGATGCTCTGTATCATTTGACAGCCAGCAGGCTGACATGTCAAGTGCATTTCCAATGTGGCTGCCCAAGAAGTTGCCATCTTAATCCGGGCTTCTGCTTCTGCTCACATTCCACACTCCACACATGCCAGCCATACGCCGGAGTGGGCAAAATGGTGGCTCTTTCCTTTATAAAATAGCAGATCGCTGGCTTCCCCTTCATATTCATTCCCAAACCGAGCATTAGTAGCCTTATAGCTACCCTTCATCTTCTAAACCATATTCCACTGTTCTCATTGTCTAAACAAGAGAAGGGAATGTCTACAGTTGTCAAGATTTCTTTTGGGGTGAGGTACAGAAATCAAAGCGATGGAGATCACAATGATGATGGATACTATGGTTATCTGCCATCAGCATGGTTAGAGGTAGATGGAGATTATGACTATGCTCCCGCAGCCTCATTAGAAGGTGATGATGACGACGATGGCTATGATTATGCTCCCGCTGCCTCCTTAGAAGGTGATGATGATGACGACAGCTATGATTATGCTCCAGCTGCATGAAATATTATATTAATGGCAATGACATGCTGCAATAATTCATTGTGTTTAGGGAGTAGTAGTTTAGTGAGGGATAACATCAAAGACAGACTTGGCTACAAGCTCAAGATAACCAGTGAATTTTTTGGTTTAGTAATTGACTGCAAAAGGTTTTTCTATCACTAGTTGAAAGCTCTTTCTGTGTTGATCACATAGTTTATGGTAATTTTAGAAATCCTAAATTCCTAATGACATATGCATTGTCAAAGAAAGTGATGTTATATGTTATTGATTGCCACCATTAAATTATATTATATTCCTACCAAACATCATAAGAAACATCATTGGTATATTAACTAATACATAGTCCTCCACAATTATATTGTTTATTCATTGTGGATTTTGTTGAAAGAGTTTGAAGAAGAAAGTATTGTATTGTTATTTACACTCTGTCAACAAGCAAATACACAGTACCATATATATAGGTAGAAGAGGGAATACTAACAGACATAAGAACTGAACAGTCATAGGAAATAATAAAAGCATAATAATGAGTCTCAACAGATTTATTGGTCAGTGTTTCCTACTAATGGCACAACACGCAGGTGTATACTTGAGAAATTGATTAGCTAAAAAACAAAAAGACAGAACAAAAGCAACATATCCCTGATAGCTTAGTGGTAATAATTCATCAATGCCATATCACCCCAAAGATGCTCCAACTTGGTTTTTCAATTTTTGTTGTTTACAAGCTATAAGAATATAAACTTGTCTGCTAGCCCAGTCAAAAACAAAGTGAGTACTTGCTATATTCCCAGGCAAGTGCACGTCTCACAGGACGATTAACAGTATTGGAGGTTTTCTGTGGGTTACCTATGTTGAGAGATGAACTGAAGGAATGAGGGAGGATAGACAAAAGGTGAATTTAATTAGAGAATAAGATACAGGCACTGTTGCAAAAATCCCGCTTAGGCGCCGATTAGGTGCTAGGCACTAGCCGGTCGACTAGCGTATCACCATAATTGATGGTTTAGGCGACTGGCCGGCTAGACGGCCGACTAGGCCGCCTAAGCGCTAACCGCCTAGGCACCGAAAAGGTCACCTAGTCGCCCGTTTAGCTATTGTTCTCTTTTTAAAATAATTTATAATTATCTAGTCTTAAAAAATTTTAAAATTTTAAACAAGTTTTTAAAAAATAAAAAATACACGGTCGCTTAGGCACTGATTAATCGCCGCCTAGCGATTTTTTCAACCATGGATACAAGGAATGTTTTGAGAGTTATCCCATCTCTGTTTTTATTAACTTCTTGCTTGTCCCATTTTATTAGAATGATGAAAATCTGGAATACACAGACAATAAAACCAAAAAAGGAAAGGAGAATCATTAAATCTTGTTATCAAAATTATTAGACATCTATAAAGGAAATAAATCAAATTCAAATAGCAAAGATATTTTAAAATCAATTAATCAATCTCCAGATTTTCTTGCACTGATTTCCTGTCTCATATCAGTACCTCATCAGTGTCTGCAAACCAGTTCTAATTCCAAGACTAATCAGGTTTTCAATTCCAAGTGATGAATATTGAATACATCACTGTAAACATGCTCCTTAGATAGTTTCTTCAGAATAAATTTACCATATCTATATTCCACAATAGCACAATCCATATTATATGCAGAATAGTCTCACCTTTATACAACCCATAAGATGCTCCATCACACAGTAAAGCAATAAGCTGACATGTTAAGTGCATTTCTGATGTGGCAACCCAAGAAGTTGGTAAATTCAGCAAAGCTTCTGCTTCGGCACACTACCCACATGCCAAAATTAAATACGTTCAATCACTGGTGACTCTTCCCTTTATAAAAGGCAGATAGTTTACCCTTCACATCCATTCTCAATTTCAAGGAATACTAGCATTGGTCTTCTAAACCCTGCCCCAATACGCTCATCGTTCTAAATAACAGAAGAGAATGTCTGCTGTTCTCAAGATCATTGGTTTGGCGTATAGTAATGAAGCTGATAGAGATTCTTATGGTGATGATGGATACAATTATGCTCCAGCAACATGCTTAGAAGGAGATGGAGACTATGATTATGCTCCAGCTGCATGATTTATTATATATAGTGTTAGTAGCATACTAAATATGCCACATACAATAACATAAGATATTTAGGAGTTAGTATGTAGTCTAGTGAGGGATGAGACTAAGTTGGACTTGGCTACTGGCTAAGTTTATATCCTTTTGGTACTAGTAATAACAAGCATTAGGATTTTATATTACTTGTTGAAAGCCATTTCATTTTGCTGGGATAGTTTAAAAATACCACTAACTTGATGTTAATGAAATCTATATTATGCCATTTTATAAATTCTAATGCAGTCCAGTGACAAAGTATTTTTAAAGAATGAGAGGATATCAGGCTATTCATAACTGGTGAAAGGAATGTGATGTTATCATGCAAATGATTGCAACATTGAATAGTATTCCTATCAAAAAATACCATATGAAATATCATATTGCATATAAATATTTAGTTGTCTAGAATTATATTATTTATTACCAAACATCATAAGAAACATCATGCAGTATATTAATTTATACATATTCCTCCAGCATTATACGGAGTATTGTTTAGTCATGGTGGATTTCTCGTTAAGTGTTGACTGCTAGTGGCACAACATGAAGGCAAATACTTGAAATCAATTAGCTAAAAACAGAAAGTAAGGAACAAATGCAACAGATCCCTGATAGCTTACTGGCAATAAGTCATCACTGCCCTATCACCCCAAAATGCTCCAACTTGGTTTTTCAATTTTTGTTGTCATACAAGCTATAAACATGTCTACTAGCACAGTCAAAACAAAGTGAGTACCTGACCAGTGTCTGCAACTCACTTCTCATGTGCTCAACCGATGATACTACGTTTTGAAATTCCTGAAAAAAAGTTTGGCAATTGTGGAAAAGTTTCCTTTATTTCAGATTAAGATGGATCTCTAATTGTGAACTCATGTACGGTGATCAGCCTCAATGTAACGGAAACACTGGAAAACTTGTTAACACACGTGCATATCAGGAGTGAAAAATAGATTAGGTTTCATATGGAGAGAGTATTTCTAGTAAACATAGATCCTATAAGTTTTCAACCTTAAAGGTACAAAGAATTTCAAGTATATCTACAAAGTATCTTAATTATTTGAGATGGGGAAGAGGGGTGGGGGAGGGTGTTGTGGAGCATATGAGCCACATGTAACATCTTCTTTATGATGGATTTAATTTAACTTATGCTTATTTTGCAAGAACTGTAGATGAGTAGAAGACTATTCAGGTTTTCAATTTCAAGAGATGATTAGCATAAGTACGTTTAGCATATCTATATTGCACAATCCACATTGATAATAAGATTCCTTTGCCAACCACCATATATGCAGAATATTCTCACCTTTATACAACCCAAGCATGGCCCCATAAGATGCTCCATCACACAGTACCATTTGACAGCATTAAGCTGACATGTCAAGTGCATTTCTGATGTGGATACCCAAGAAGTTGGTAAATTCAGAAAAGCGTGGTTAGGCACATTCCTCTGGAAACACTCCACATTCACCACATGCCAGCCCTCTGCCAAAATGCTTTCAATGGTGGCTCTTCCCTTTATAAAAAGCATATAGCTTACCCTTCACATCAATCCTCAATCTGATTCGGCACATTCCTCAGGTAACGCTCCACACTCCCCACATGCCAGCCCTATGTCAAAACGAGTTCAATGGTCACTCTTCTCTTTATAAAAGGCAGATAGCTTACCCTTCACATCCATTCTCAATTCTAAACCCTGCCCCGATACGCTCATCGTTCTGAACAACAGAAGAGAATGCCTACTGTTCTCAAGATGATTGGTTTGGGATACAGGAATGAAGCTGATAGAGATTCTTATGGTAATGATGGATACAATAATGCTCCAGCAACATGCTTAGAAGGAGATGGTGACGATGACGATGGAGACTATGATTACGCTCCAGCTGCATGATTTATTATATATAGTGTTAGTACCATACTTAATATGCCACAATAACATAAGATATTTAGGAGCTAGTATGTAGTCTAGTGAGGGATGAGACTAAGTTGTACTTGGCTACTGGCTAAGTATATATCCTTTTGGTACTAGTAATAACAAGCATCAGGATTTTATATTACTTGTTGAAAGCCGTTTCATTTTGCTAGAATAGTTTATAAATACCTCTAACTTGATGTCAATGAACTCTATATATGCCATTTTATAAATTCTAATGCAGTCCAATCACCAATGACAACATATTTTTAAAGAATGAAAGGATTTCAGGCTATACATAACTGGTGAAAGGAATGTGATGATATCATGCAAATGATTGCAACATTGAAATGTATTCTTATCAAATACCATATGAAATATCATATTGCATATAGTTGTCTAGAATTATATTATTTATTCATTTCCCACCAGGGAAAAATATGTAGGCATACATCTGAAATTGCTTCGATGAGAAGTAAATTATATTTCTACCAAACATCATAAGAAACATCATGTAGTATATTAGTTAATGCATAGTCCTCCAGAATTATATTGTTTATTCATTATGAATTTCTTGTTAAGTGTTGCCTGCTAGTGGCACAACATGAAGGCATATATTTGAAATCAATTAGCTAAAAACAGAAAGAAAAGAACAAAAGCAACATATAAGCTTACTGGCAATAATTCATCATCACTGCCCTATCACCCCCAAAAGATGCTCCAACTTGGCTTTTCAATTTTTGTTGTTTGCAAGCTTTAAGAATATAAATTGTCTACTAGTCCAGTCAAAAACAAAGTTAGTACCTCATCAGTGTCTGCAACCCATTTCTCATGTGCTCAACCGATGATATTATTTTGAAATTCCTGAAAAAAAAGTCTGGCAATTGTAGAACAGTTTCCTTCATTTCAGGGTAAGATGGATATCTAATTGTGAACTCATGTATGTTCATCAGGGCCTCAATGTAACTGCAACCCTGGCAAACTTTTTAACATAGAGAATTTCAGGAGTAAAAAATAGATTAAAAAGCTTAATATGGAGAATGTATTTCTAGTCAACATAGATCCTATAAGTATTGAATATTAAAGATACAAAGAATTTCAAGTATATCTACAAAGTATATGTTAGAGGAATAAGGGTAGTTAGAGAGAGTTGCTCTTGGTCTTACATTTTTGTTTTGAATTATGTGGCCTAGTAGTCTTTAGCCTATGTATAAATAGGTTCTATCTTGTACAGTTTGTACAGTGAGATATATACACAGTTTCATAGTTCAACACTTAACATGGTATCAGAGCGTGGGAAGTGAGAGTGAGTGTCTGGGCTAAGTCTGGGAACGACGGGCGACGCCGCTACAAGAAGTCCGGCCGCCGTCGGAGGTGTCACGCGCTCTCACGCGCCGCCGCCGCAGGACTGCTCCGACTCCACGCGCCGGCGCGTGAGGCGGTTTCCGGCGACGTCGCCGGTCGATTCTTGGTGCGTCAGTCTCGCCTCGCCGTGCTGGTTCCAGGGAGGTGGGATGTGTTGAAGGTTTCCGATCTGGTTGGCTCGTCTATTGAAAGAGGTACGCAGTGTGTATTTTCTGTACTGTGTGATCTATTGAAAGAGGTACGCAGTGTGTATTTTCTGTACTGTGTGAAGAGAGTTGTGCTGTTTTTTGTTTTGAATTTGTTGGGTGAAGACTAAAAATGGCACAAGAAAGGAATATCACAGTGATTTCCACGCCATCCAAATTAATCGACATAGTTTTGGCCCCAGATGGGTCTAATTTTCCTGAGTGGAGGTTTTTGGTTAAAGTAAATTTAGATGGTATGGGAAAGGGTGATCATCTGGAAAAAGAGTGTCCTACAGATGCTATAGCTGGGGACTGGAAAACTACTGATAAAGCCTTAATGTCACGTGTAATTAATTGCATTGATAGGAGAATTATTTTATCTATGCAACATTGTCAAACTTTTAAAGAAGTATGGGATTTAGTGAACAAATGGTTTAGTGGAACTAGTAATTTGAGAAAGTTATACCAGTTGTCTCAGGAAGCATATCGATCTAGTCAGAAGGGGCGTGAGCTTAGAGATTACTACTATGACTTTAAGAGTGTATGTGTTGCTTTGTGTGCTGCGATGCCAATAACAAATGATGTGGATGAAATGAAAAAACAACGTGAAAAATTACTTGTTTTTAGTTGGATTGCTGGCCTGGATAAAGAATATGATGTCCTTAGATCTCAACTGCTAGGAAATAAGGACTTGGAATCTTTGGATCAAGTATTTTCCATGCTACAGAATGCATCAGGAAATAATGAATCAAACGAGCTCCAGGAAAGAAATGCCTTTGTGTCACACGGTAATATGGATCCGAGTGCCCTGGTAACCCAAGGGGGGAATACCGGTGAAAGTTATGGTTCTCGAGGAGGGGGTAATAACCGCTCCAGAGGACGCGGGGGTCCTTGGAGAGGTCGTGGAGGACGTGGAGGTCCACGAGTTTGTTTTAATTGTGGGGATCCTAGACACTTTCGAAATCAGTTTCCTAAGCTGCCGAGACAACAAGTGGCTGCTAATACGGCTTCCACGTCAGAAGGTCACACAGTAGTGATGACAGATGAGGAGTTTGCTAAATTCAACCAGATGAAACTTTCTTCTCCCACGCAGTTTCCACCCAGTCAAGTGCCTTCCTCCGCAACGTTTGTCCAAATAGGTAATTCAGTTGCTTGTGTTTCTTCTGCGTCTCGACAGTGGGTCATTGACTCAGGGGCTTCTGAGCATATGACAGGTAATTATAATATCTTTTCTACGTATTTGCCCGTCAATTCTGGTCATACCGTTACCCTAGCAGATGGATCTATAGCCACTGTTTTGGGTAAAGGTAGTGCTACTGCAACTCCCTCGTTACCCCTTAATTCTGTGTTATACCTGCCAAAGTTTCCGTTGAATTTACTCTCTGTCAGTCAAATAGTTCGTGACCTAAATTGTTCTGTTATGTTTTTTCCTGGCTATTGTCTGTTCCAGGATCTTTTGACGAGGAGGATTATTGGTAAGGAGAAGGAGGTTGGCGGTCTGTATGTCTTAGAGCGCTTTACGTCGCTCGGGAACGTGTCTACTGGTTTGGTGAGCAGTGTTTCCCCCTTTCAATTGCATTGTCGGTTTGGTCACCCATCTTTACCAGCGTTAAAGAAGATGTGTCCTGGTTTAGAGCCTTTGAAAGTTTTGCAATGTGAGTCATGTGAGTTTGCAAAACACCATCGTATTCCTTATGTTTCTCGGGTGAATAATAGAGTAGATTCTTTGTTTGAATTAGTTCATTCTGATGTTTGGGGACCGTGTCGGGTTACGTCCAAAAGTGGCTTTCGATATTTTGAAACCTTTGTTGATGACTTCTCTAGGTGTACTTGGTTGTATCTCATGAAGTCTAGGGGTGAGTTGTTTGATATTTTCTAAAGTTTTTGTTCTGAAGTAAAAACTCAGTTTAATAAGACTATACAATGTTTGAGAAGTGATAATGCTCAAGAATATCTTCTTAAATCCGTTTCGAGCTTTATGAGTCAAAATGGCATCATACATCAAACTTCTTGTGTTTACACCTCCCAACAGAATTGTGTTGCAGAAAGAAAGAACCGCCATTTGTTAGAAATCGCCCGTGCCCTTTTATTCCAAATGAAAGTGCCTAAAGTGTTTTGGGCGGATGTTGTTCACACTGCTTGTTTCTTTATCAATAGGATGCCTTCGTCGGTACTCCGTGGTCAAAACCCGTACTCAGTTATATATCCCTCCAAACCTTTGTTTTCCTTGACTCCCAAGATTTTTGGTTGTACGTGTTTTGTTCAGGATGTCCGTCCACTAAAAGGGAAGCTTGATCCTAAATCCCTTAAGTGCATCTTCCTGGGGTATTCTCGAACTCAAAAAGGGTATAGGTGTTACTCCCCGGATTTAGGGAGGTATCTGGTTTCGGCTGATGTCACTTTTTTTTAGGAGACTGTGTTCTCTGATAGCATTCTCGGGGGTAGGTCGCCGGTGATAGAGGAAGATTTTCTTACTTATACTATCACTATTCCTGTACCCACAGTGGAGTCTGCTTCTAGAGTTGTACCTTCCGTGCAAGTGTATTCAAGACGGCCCCGGGATGTAGTTGCGCCAACGGTTGCACAGTTGAATGCTCCTCCCCTACCAGAACCTCCGTCAACTGATCTTCCAATTGCCGTGCGAAAAGGTAAACGTAGTTGTTGTCATCCACTTTCTTTCTATGTTTTCTATGGCCATTTATCAGAGTCTTCCCGAACCTTTATATCCAAACTGGATTCTGTGTCTGTCCCTAAAACGCTGTGTCAGGCTGTCTCATGATGGGTGGAAATCTGCTATGGAAGAGGAAATGGCAGCCCTTGAAGAGAATCAGACTTGGGATCTTGTACATCTCCCCGCTGGGAAGTCTCCAATTGGATGCAAGTGGGTTTACGTTGTCAAGACAAACCCGAATGGGTCGGTTGCTCGGCTTAAAGCGCGGTTGGTGGCTAAAGGGTATGCACAGACTTATGGAGTTGATTACACAGAGACTTTTTCTCCGGTTGCGAAGTTAACGTCTGTGCGGGCCTCAATTTCTCTAGCTGCTGTTAATGATTGGCCGCTGTATCAGTTAGATGTCAAAAATGCGTTTCTACATGGTGTTTTGGCAGAGGAAGGGTATATGGAGCAACCACCTGGGTTTGTTGCTCAGGGGGAGAACGGGAAGGTTTGTAAGTTGAAGAAGTCCTTGTATGGGTTAAAACAGTCTCCCAAAGCGTGGTTTGGGAGGTTCAGTACTGTTGTTATTGAGTTTGGCATGCAACGTAGTGCCTATGATCACACTGTTTTTTATAAGCATTCTAACCGTGGCAGCGTTTTGTTAATTGTCTATGTGGATGATATAGTGATCACAGGTGGTGATGCAACGGGGATTGATGCGCTCAAGTCTTTTCTTAAAAAGAAATTCCATACAAAAGATCTAGGAGTATTGAAGTACTTCCTTGGGATAGAGGTTGTTCGTTCTAAGAAAAGTATATTTCTTTCACAATGGAAATATGTGTTGGATCTACTTGAAGAATTTGGGCTCTTAGGGTCGAAGCCTTGCGAGACTCCTATGGACCAGAGTGTTAAGCTTGTAGCCGGTGAGGGGGAGCCGCTTGAAGATCCAGAGCGGTATAGGAGACTGGTGGGAAAATTAAATTACCTTACTATCACTCGTCCAGATATTGCCTTTCCAGTGAGTGTGGTGAGTCAGTTCATGGCGAATCCAGAAAAAATCCATTGGGAAGTTGCAGTTCGAGTTGTGAAGTATTTAAAGAGTGCTCCTGGGAAAGGAATTTTGTATGCCAATCATGGGCATAGGTGTGTTGAGGCCTTCTCTGACGCTGATTGGGCTAGGTCACCGAGTGACAGGAGGTCGACAACGGGGTATTGCGTGTTCCTTGGTGGCAACCTAGTGTCGTGGAAAAGTAAGAAGCAGGGTGTTGTGGCTCGCTCTAGTGCAGAGTCTGAGTATAGAGCAATGGCTCATGTGGCATGTGAGGTGACGTGGTTGTGTAATATTCTTGGGGAGATTGGTGTAGAGGTGAGTAAGCCGGTTCCTTTATGGTGTGACAACAAAGCCGCTATACACATTTCCAGTAATCCTGTGTTTCATGAGCGCACTAAACATATTGAGGTAGATTGTCACTTTGTACGGGACAAGGTTCAACAAGGGCTACTTTCTACTGTTCATGTTCGAATTGGTGATCAGCTGGCGGATGTTCTTACAAAAGGCCTTAGTAGAGCCAGGATTGAGTATATCTGTAACAAGCTGGGCATGATTGACATCTATGCTCCAGCTTGAAGGGGAGTGTTAGAGGAATAAGGGTAGTTAGAGAGAGTTGCTCTTGGTCTTACATTTCTGTTTTGAATTATGTGGCCTAGTAGTCTTTAGCCTATGTATAAATAGGTTCTATCTTGTACAGTTTTTACAGTGAGATATATACACAGTTTCATAGTTCAACACTTAACAGTATATAACTTGAGAGGGGGAAGAGGAGTGTGTGTGTGTGGGGAGGGGGGGGGGGGGGGGGGGGTGATCTGGAGCATATAAGCCACATGTAACATTTTCTTTCTGATGGATTTAATTTAGATTATTCTTGCTTATTTGCAAGCACTGTAGATGAGTAGAAGACTATTCAAGTTTTCAATTTCAAGAGATGAATAAATAACTGTAAACATGCTCCTTAGATTGTTTCTTCACAATAAGTTTAGAATATCTATATTCCACAATCCACATTGATAATAAGATTCCTTTGCCAACCATCATATATGCAGAATAGTCCCATAAGATGCTCCATCACACAGTACCATTTGACAGCAATAAGTTGACATGTCAAGTGCATTTCTGATGTGGATACCCAAGAAGTTGGTAAATTCAGTAAAGCGTGGTGAGGCACATTCCTCTGGAAACACTCCACACTCACCACATGCCAGCCCTCTGCCAAAATGCTTTCAATGGTGGCTCTTCCCTTTATAAAGGGCAGATAGCTTACCCTTCACATCAATCCTCAATCTGATTTGGCACATTCCTCAGGTAACGCTCCACACTCCCCACATGCCAGCCCTATGTCGAAACGAGTTCAATGGTGACTCTTCTCTTTATAAAAGGCAGATAGCTTACCCTTCACATCCATTCTCAATTCAAGGAAGACAAGCCACATAACATTGGTCTTCTAAACCCTGCCCCGATACGCTCATCATTCTAAACAACAGAAGAGAATGCCTACTGTTCTCAAGATCATTGGTTTGGGATACAGGAATGAAGCTGATAGAGATTCTTATGGTGATGATGGATACAATAATGCTCCAGCAACATGCTTAGAAGGGGATGGTGACGATGATGACGGAGACTATGATTACGCTCCAGCTGCATGATTAATTATATAGTGTTAGTAGCATACTTAATATGCCACAATAACAAGATATTTCAAAGTTAGAATGTAGTGAAGTGAGGGATGAGAGAAAGTTGGACTTGGCTACTGGCTAAGTTTATATCCTTTTGGTGCGAGTAATAACAAGCATTAGGATTTTATATTACTTGTTGAAAGCCTTTTCCTTTTGCTAGGATAGTTTATGAATACCTCTAACTTGATGTTAATGAAATCTATATTCTGCAATTTTATAAATTCTATTGCAGTCCAATGACAAAGCACTTTTAAAGAATGAGAAGATATCTGGCTATTTATAACTGGCAAAAGGAATGTGATGATATCATGCAAATGATTGCAACATTGAATAGTATTCTTATCAAATACCATGTGAAACATCATATTGCATATAAGTTGTTAAACAATAAACTAACTGTATATTTCTATATGTTCTGTGTTCCAATGTACAAGGAAGTATAGAGCTATTTATATTAGACAAGAACTAATCCTAGCCATAGGTTTCAAATACCTAAAATTAAGGCTAAGAGAGATCCTCTCAACTAACACCCTATTTCTCTAACACTCCCCCTCAAGTTGGAGCATCCAACTTGTTACATATGTATCACATGAACCATAGGACTCCACACCTAGACTATAAGCCCAAGACTTGAACCACTCGAACAACCTTCGAACCACGCTGTGCCAAACCAGTCCACAACGTACCTTGTCGCACCAACAACACTTCTACGGAGTCAACAAAAACTAGGCCAACCACCACATCGCCGCACCTGCCTCTCACTCCCCACACCCTTATCACCGCTGCCTAACACCACAGCGTACCTGCCTCTCACTCCACAAACCCTTAGCGCTGCTAGACCACAGTGCACCTGTCCCTCTCACCATGCACTATCAACGCTGCCTAACACTACAACGTTTCCCTGGTGCATGCACGTAATCTGATTCACTCTGAATCATTCTTCAGCCGTCGGCCTCCCCCGCGGCATATGCCAGGTCCGCCCCACTCCTGGCACCTGTGCTACCCACTCCTGCAGCACCCCTGTTTACGCACACTGATCAAGCTGCACTTGACTCAACTCAGACCCTAGAATTGCTCCCATACCAAATTAATTTAGAGCGACAAACTATGATAAACAAAATACAAAGGTCAAGACTTATTAATACGAACACGATAAACAAAAGAAAACTACGGCAAACTACTGCCTAATTATTTCTAGTCTGGTGTCAGCCGAGAAAGAGAGACAACCGAGAGAGATGGTAGGGGAGGTCCACAAAGCTGGGTGGACCTTGGTGAACAAACAGATCCTCGCTGCCGTTGTCGGGGGTTATGAACCCAAACCCCTTCTGGTCACTGAACCATTCGACGCAGCCCTTCATCCTCTGCTCACTCTCCTCAGCCATTTTTTTCTCACAAGCCCTACCTCTCTCTCTCCCTAGTTTCTCTCTCTCGCGACCAACAGCAACCTTCAAGTTTCCCAGCTGGAATTTTTGCACCACTTACGCAGCAGGAGATGCAGCAATCCAAAACGCAGAAGTCCAAACAAACGCAGTAGTGAAGTGAAGACCGTACAGCCAACAAACACCTTCACAACACCGGACTACACCACCACTGCAGACGTACTGGGCGTTCAGAGGCGAGCCCAACGGTACCGGCCTTGACCGGAGTAGTCGCAGGAGAACTCCGCACGCGCCGGCGTGTGGCGTCGGAAACCTAGGACCGCGGCGGCGCGTGAGGACTCCGGTGGCTGCTCCGCCTCTCCCGCCGGCGTCGCTTCCTCTTTCCGACCAACACCCACTACCCAGTCACCTCAAGGCTCTGATACCATGTTAAACAATAAACTAACTGTATATTTCTATATGTTCTGTGTTCCAATGTACAAGGAAGTATAGAGCTATTTATATTAGACAAGAACTAATCCTAGCCATAGGTTTCAAATACCTAAAATTAAGGCTAAGAGAGATCCTCTCAACTAACACCCTATTTCTCTAACATAAGTGTTTAGTTGTATAGAATTATATTATTTATTCATTTCCCACCTAGGCAAAATATGTAGGCACACATCTCAAATCGCTTGGATAGAAAGCAAACTATATTCCTACCATACATCATAAGAAACATAATGTAGTATATTAATTAATACTAAATAGTACGTCCTCAAGAATTATATTTTTTATTCATTGTGGATTTCTTGTTAAGTGTTGTCTGCTAGTGGCACAACATGAAGGCATATATTTGAAATCAATTTGCTAATAACAGAAAGTAAGGAACAAAAGCAACATATCCATGATAGCTTACTTGCAATAATTCATTACTGCCCCATCACCCCAAAAATGCTCCAACTTGGCATTTCAATTTTTGTTGTTATACAAGCTATAAAAATGTCTACTAGCACAGTCAACCCACTTCTCATGTGCTCAACCTATGATACTAAGTTTTGAAATTCCTTAAAAATGTCTGGCAATTGTAGAACAGTTTCCTTCATTTCAGAGTAAGATGGATCTCTAATTGTGAACTCATGTATGGTCATCGGACTCAATGTATCTGCAACCCTGGCAAACTTTATAAAACACAGAGTATTTCAGGAGTAAAAAATAGATTAAGTTTCATATGGAGAAAGTATTTCTAGTCAACATAGATCCTATAAGTATTCAACCTTAAAGATACAAAGAATTTCAAACATACCTACAAAGTGTCTTACTTGAGAAGGGGAAGAGGGGTGGGGTAGGGTGTTTTGGAGCATATGAGCCACATGTAAAATTTTCTTTCTGATGGATTTAATTTAACTTATGCTTATTTTGCAAGAAGTGTAGATGAGTGTAAGACTATTCAGGTTTTCAATTTCAAGCGATGAATACATCACTGTAAACAAGCTCCTTAGATAGTTTCTTCAAAATAAGTTATCTATATTCCACAATCCACCTTGATGATAAGATTCCTTTACAACCACCATATATGCTGAACAGTCTCACCTTTATAAAACCCAGGCATGGCCCCACAAGATGCTCCATCACACACTATCATTTGAAAGCAATAATCTGACATGTGAAGTGCATTTCTGATGTGGCTATCCAAGAAGTTGGTAAAATCAGCAAAGCTTCTGGTTCCGTGGTTCGGCACATTCCTCAGGAAACACTCCACACTCCACACTCCCCACATGCCAGACCTATGCCAAAATGCACTCAATGGTGGCTCTTCCTTTTATAAAAGGCATCCTCAATCTGATTCGACACATTCCTCAGGTAACGCTCCACACTCCCCACATGCCTTCCCTACGCCAAAACGAGTTCAATCGTGACTCTTCCCTTTATAAAAGGCAGATAGTTTACCCTTCACAACCATTCTCAATTCAAGGAATACCAGCCACATAGCATTGGTCTTCTCAATCCGGCCCCAATACTCTTATCAAGATCATTGGTTTGGGATACAAGAATGAAGCTGATGGAGATGCCTATGGTGATGATGGATACAATTATGCTCCAGCAACGTGCTTAGAAGGAGATGGAGACGATGATGACGGAGACTATGATTACGCACCAGCTGCATGAGTAATTATATATAGTGTTAGTAGCATACTTAATATGCCACAATAACTCAACATATTTACTAGTTAGAATGTAGTCTAGTGAGGGATGAGACAAAGTTGGACTTGGCTACTGGCTAAGTTTATATCCTTTTGGTGCCAGTAATAACAAGCATTAGGATTTTATATTACTTGTTGAAAGCCTTTTCCTTTTGCTAGGATAGTTTATGAATACCTCTAACTTGATGTTAATAAAATCTATATTATGCCATTTTATAAATTCTAGTGCAGTCCAATGACAAAGCATTTTTAAAGAATGAGAAGATATCAGGCTATTCATAACTGGTGAAAGGACTGTGATGATATCATGCAAATTACTGCAGCATTGAATAACATTCCAATTAAATACCATAAGAAATATTATATTGCATATAAATATTTAGTTGTCTAGAATTATAATATCTATTCATTTCCCACCAAGGTAAAATATGTAGACAAATATCAGAAATCGCTTGGATGAAAAGTATTTAAAAAAAAAAAAAAAAAAAAAAAAGTGCAAAAGCAATTTACAGGCTGCTTAAGTGTAGAGTCACCCTGAATTTGTCCTACATCACTTCTGTGCAATGCACAAAGGTCTTTCTAATGGAAAAGAGGAGAGTACAAACCATCTAAGCAAATCCTAGAAGAATGAAATCTGCAGCAATCTCTTCACAACTCCTTCAGTTTCTGCAGCAAAATTTTACTTCAAGTATTATAAAAGAAAGAAACAAAGAAAGAAAAAAATGTTCATCTCAATACACAGTAAACAGATATGAGGGATTCAAAATGTAGTTGCTTGCACATCCCAAGGACTGGATGCACTATAGTACTATGTCATTGAACTTCTTTCCATGTAGTCTAACAATACAATTTAAAGCTCACAAACATTATAAAACACCAGTAAATAAAAGAGTATGTCATAGGCACTTGCCTTCTCTGATGACACCGAATCAGCAAATAAAGCTCTCTGCAAGCTGATTCTCACTAGCAAGATTTCTTCATTCGTCTATCACATCTAAGATGCTTCAACTAAGCTTTTCCGTGTGTATGAGCTATTGGAATATAAAAATTGCCTACTGGTCCTGTCATAAACAAATTGAGCACATCACCAAAATTTGCAACCCACTTTCCTGTGCCCAATCAATGACAGTAAGTTGTAAATTCATGAAAAAACATTCTAATAATTGAAGAACAGCTTCCTTCATTTGGAAGTAAGATGTGTCTTTAATTGTGAACTCATGAATGGTCTTCAACCTCAATTGAACTGGATCCTGGCAATTTTTTAACATGCAGAGCTTTCATATTCTTTCTGACCTTTGATACATCTTCCCATCTATTGGCAGATGCATACATGTTAGCCAGAAGTGTATGAGTACTGGAATCACTGGATTCAATTTCCATGAGCATTTTAACAATACGTTCTCCCATATCAACATCACCATGAATCCTGCAAGCACTAAGCAAGGCACCATAAAGGGTAACTACAATCTTGCTATCTTTATTTGGAATGGTGGCTATCATGTGCTCAGCTTCATTTAATAGCCCAGCACGGCCAAGGAGGTCTATCAAACACCCATAATGTTCCAAACTTGGTTCAATGCCATAAATCCTTGTCATTGAATCAAAATACCCACGGCCTTCCTCTACTAATCCCCCATGACTGCAAGCTGTTAAAACACCAATAAAGGTAATATCATCAGGTCTAATTCCAGCTTGTAGCATTTGTGAAAACAGTTCCAAGGCTTTGCCGGTGTCTCCATTCATGGCAAGAGCACAAATAATTGAAGTCCATGATGCAGCATCTTTCTCTCTTAACTCATTGAAAATTTCTAAAGACTTCTCAAGGCACCCACATTTTGCATACATCTCCATAAGGGCAGTACCCACAACTGCATCAATTACTATTCCATTTTGAATTATATAATTACGAATCCACTCCCCTTGGTCCAAAGCTCCCGCTTGAGCACAACCCTTGAGTAGAGAAACCAGTGTATACTTATCAGGCTTGATCCTTTGCATTTGCATTGCTTGGAACAAGGTCATGGCATCTTCAAAAAGGTTAAACTGCACATACCCATTAATCATAGCTGTCCATAAAACGAGATCCTTTACAGGACTCCTCTCAAATAGGTCTCTAGCCTCATCCAGCTGACCACAACTCACATAACCTGAAACCATACTAGTCCAGGACATAACATTCCTTGTGGACATAGTGTTAAATATTTGCCCAGCCTCACTCAAACACCCACACTTACAATACATATCCACCAAAGCATTCTCAATTTTAATGGTATATCCAAGCTCTTTGCTAACATACTGATGTATCTCTTTACCAAGTTCCAATTTTTTCAATGCAGTACAAGCTGACAAGGTACTAACAACAGTGGCCTCTTCAGGTTTAATACTTCCCTCTTGCCCCATCATTCTATAAACTCTGATAGCTTCCTGAAATCTGCTGCATCTAACATATCCAGAAATCAAAACATTCCAGGACACCGAATCTCTGTTTGGCAATTCATCAAACACTTTCTTCATACTCTCCACATAACCCAACTCACCATACATGTCCATGACTGAATTACACACGTAACAATCAGACCCAACGCCACTTTTCAACACAAACCCATGAATCTTTTCACCTTCAAGAACTACCCGCAACCCTCCAACGGCCTTAAACACGAACGGGTACGTAAAATTATCAGGCCACAGCCCCCGCCCTCTAAGCTCATCAAACAAGAAAAGCGCATTTCTGAACCGACCCATTTTCGTATGCGCTTTGATCATCACATTGTAGATGAACAAAGTCGGGTTGTCAATGCGGTCAAAGATTAGCTGGGCGTGGCTAAGATTTCCGAGCAGAGGGTCTGCTGTGAAGGCCATGAGCTTGTGGAGCGTGTCTACATGTTGGTGGATGCCAAGAGTGAAGAGTAAAGCTTGAATTTGCTTCAGCTTCGCCATGGACTTGCAGGCCTTCAGGAGATGTATGCATGTCTTCTTGGTGATGGGTGGCGCGTGCGGAGCGCCGCCGGAATAGAAACGACGAAGTTTTGCGGCGAAACGGCGGGAAACTAACCGCAGTGTGAAACAGTTAGGTGGAATGGACATGACTGTTGGATCCATCTTTCTTCGCGATTCTTAATTAATACTTATAATGGGATTTTACAGCCCAATTGTTTTGGGCTTCAGTTTTCAATCAAATTCTAGGCCCAAAAGTGTACCTCTGTTTTCGGGCAAATTATTATATTGTGTACTAAGGCGGTGTATTCAATCATGACTTTTGTAGAGTTTTAAAGACTTTTAAAATGATAGATTTTAATAAATTTTGATTAATTTTTATAGAGTCGTTCAAAACTTTTTAAAACTTTATAAGACTCTATAAAAGTCTATATAAAAAACATTCATAAACTTTTATCAACTTTTTATTTTAAAAAGTTTACAAAAGTCATTGAAATTCTAAATTAAATACATCCTTACAAACTTTCAATGATTTTGATTCTTATCATTTACAATATAATTTTCTTACAAAACATTTATAATATACCATAAAATTCTTCTTATTATATAGTTCTTCACCCACATCAACATTCTTAACATTATATTATTATTTTTATCCATAATATGCTAAGACTTATATGCTAATTACTTATATATATATATTATTAATAAACATAAACAAGAAAAATTATTTCATTATAAATTCATAACAATATTGAACAATAAAATTTATAATAAAAGATTTGATCAAATAAAATATTTAAAAATATAATTATAAGTTGCATAAAATAAAAAAATAAAAATTTAATATTAATAATATATATAAAATTATATTTGATATATTGCTAAGCATCATGCAAAGAACTATTATTTGCAATAGCAATTTGAGCCTGCAAACAATAACAAGGTGCTACTGTTTGCAACCCCAAATTGTTGTTGCGAATAGTAATTTGCTATTCGTAGTAACCTGTTGTTAATATATATATATATATATATATATATATATATATATATATATATATTACGAATAAAAATCAAAATATATAAGTATTTATATATATTTTTTGAATGCTACTGGCTCCCAAATTGTTGTTGCGAATAGTAATTCGCTATTCGTAGTAACCTGTTGTTAAAAAGGAAAAAAATATCTATTCGTAGTAACCTGTTGTTAAAAACACTGAGGCTCGAACTCACAACCTTCCAAATGAAAGTCCAACTTTCTTAACCTACTGAAACAGTGAGGCTCGAACCACAACCTTCCAAATGGAAGTCCAACTCAGGTACCATTAGACCACATAGTCTTGGTATATAAGTACTTATATGAATATTATGAAACATATACTAAAATTTGACGATGAAAAAATTGGTTTGTTCATTTATTTAGGGAGAATTAGAGAAAGTTCTGGATAAAAAATTCATAGAAAAAAAAATAAAAATCAATATAAACAAGCAATAATGAAGTAAAAATAATATTATTTCGAATTTTTAGATGAAGATTTTAAAGTTTAGGAGAGAGAGAGAAAAATTGGTAGGGTTTAGGTATGAGGAAAATATAGGATAATGAAGAAAAAATAATTTTATTGAATTTAAATAGGTTTATAAAGTTTGAATAGGGAGAAAAAATAGAGTTTAAATAGAGAGAGAAAACATTCAAAGTTGTTAGAAAGAAAATTTGAAATCTTGGGGTTGATGGTTGGATTTCAACTATTTATATTTGTGAAGAAAAAGTCTACAAAAGTCTTAAAATTAAAAAGTCTATTAAAGTTCATAACTTTTTGAATACTGCATGACTTTTAAAGACTCTTTAAAAGTCTTAATCGAATACCACACGACTTTTAAAGACTCTTTAAAAATATTGATTGAATACCGCCTGACTTTTAAAGACTCTCAAAAAGTTTGAATTGAATACCTCCAAACTTTTAAAGTTCATAAAAGTCTTTAAAACTCTATGAAAGTCGTGATGAAATACACCCCCCTAAGGCACTGTTTGACAGAGCTTATTTAGGAGTTTATAGCTTATTTTAAGTTACTTCCTCCGTCCCTAATTGATTGTCTTATTTGCTTTTTGTACGGTTTTTAATACAACATAACAAATGTTTACTAACTTTCTAATTTTGTCCCTCAAAAGTAGGTGTTATTTGTACAAAGTATAATTGTACTTACCTATAGAAATTTGAAAAGTCAAAAGGGTAAATTGGGAAATGTAGTGTGATAATTATGTTCAATTTTAGAAAGATGACATTATTTTGGGACAAACTAAAAAGGAAAGTATGACACATAAAATGGGACGGATGGAGTACTAATAAGCTATAAGATCTGTTTGGTAATGTTTCCAAAATAACCTCCTAGCTAGCTTAAAATAAGAGCTTATTTTGAAACGCTATCTTAGGTAGTGTTTCAAAATAAGCTCCTAACTTCCTAACTTTTTTTTCCATCTTTATCCTTATTATTTTAAAGAAATGACATAATTTATCCTTCCCAATTAAAACTCTTTTCCCTTTCTCTTTGCAATTTTCACGGCAATTATTATTATTATTATTATTATTATTATTATTATTATTATTATTATTAGATTTGCAACATTATTGGCAAATTATATTATGCACCGCGCGTCTTTTTTTTTTTAAATGAAAATAAACAGTGTTAGTTTCCGTCGTTTCGCACCCTTTTGCAAAAAGTAACTCTGTTATTCAATGTCATTTTGTATACACTGCAGTTTCAGTTCAACACAACTACAGTTTCATTTCGATATAACTATAGTTTCATTTGATATTTATAGACTCAAATATGTGAAAATGTTATTTTATTTTATTTTATATACACTATAGTTTCATTAAAACACAACTACATGATTTTTTTGGTATAATTACAGCTTCATTGTACAATATACACTCAAATATGTGAAATGTTATTCAGTTTCATTTTATATACACTACAGTTTCATTTCACTATAACTACAGTATCATTTTGATATAACTGCAGTGTCGGTTTAGATATATTATAGTGTCAGTTGGTGTTTAATACACCAAACAAGCGGACTCCGTTAACTCTAACGGCAGGCCGTTTCTTCACTTAAAGAAACGGCGCCGTTTTTTACCGCAGTGCACATGCACCACGGTCTATAATATAACGACTGAACAATATTGCTACTTCATTATGATATGCTAGATCATGATTAGCTAATAGTTTTATTTCAAAATGTTATTTTTTTAAAGACAAAATGTTAAATTTTAATATGTAAACAAACTAATTTAAATTTTATGAAGATGTCCTTTTTAGTCTTTTTACATTTATCAGCTTATAAAAAAGTTAATTTTACCAAACACTTTCAATCATAACAGCTAGCTTAACAGCTCTTCAGTTTTCAGCTCCGAGCTTATAGCTTTTCAGCTTTCAGCTCTTAGCTTATAGCTTTTTAGCTAGGTTTGCCAACAAAGCCTAAGCGTACGATGAAGGCAAATTATTGTGTGGACCACGACCTAAAATAATGTCGTTTTGATGTTAAAAAAAAAAATCTTTATTCTGTACGTGTATTAGAATAATGAATATTTTGTAGTAAGATAATGTATTTTATGTGTAAAAATAATAAAATTTCTGGGGTAAGATAATGTATTTTTTGAGTTAGAATAATGTAATATATATGTTAGAATATTGTATTTTATGAGTTAGAATAATGTATAATGTATTTTATGTGTTAGAATAATGAAATTTCTGGGATAATATAATGTATTTTATGAGTTAGAATACTATACTTTATGGGTAAAATAATGTACGTACTTTATGTGTTTTTGGACCGTGCTTCATATAGTTCAAATTATGTACCTTCAATTAATAAATTATGTATTTATTATAATGGAAAAATGGTGATTTTAGTCTATTAATTATGCATAAATTGTAGACTCAGTCTATAAATTATTGTTCTATACAACTTTCACTACTGGAAATTATGGAATTTCCGACCACCTGAAATTGATCTTAAATCAAGTTGAAAGCCTTGTTCCGACCACTTTTGGTATCCGGAAAAACCTTTGTTGCTATTTCCGACAACTTTTTGGACTTTTTGGTATCAATTTAATTTAAGATCATTTTCAGGTGGTCGGAAATTCCATAATTTCCAGTAGTGTTTTTCCCTTTTAATTATTTGGAAAGTGGTCGTTTCAATCTGTTATTTATAAATTTTGTTTACATTAAAAATTTATTTTGATTTGTCAAATTATTAGAGGAAAAATTGGTAATTTTATAGAACTTTTTCAAGTATAAAAAAAAAGGAAAAAAAAAAAAGAAAAAAAAAAAAAAAGAAGAAGATCAAATAGGCCCTCAAACTTTATCTGAAAAGTCAATAACCCCTCAAACTTTTTAAAGTTGCAATTCAATTAGGTACATAAACATGCCGATTTAGTTCATCAAGTGCCAATTACATGTTAGTGACATGCATGTAATACCAGGTCACTGAAATTTCGACGATTGCCCAGCAATAAAAATCGACGACGGAGACCAAGACGTCGTCAGAGAAGGCGTAGCCATCTCCAATCGACTGGAGAAGATAATTAATCATTAAATTAGTATATAATTAATATTTATGCTTATTTAAGATAAGAACAACATTTAAAAATATACTTTATATATATATATATATATATTTATTCATTTCTCCATATTTCATTTCCTACGTATTTTGAAATTGTTGTTTTTCATTTCCCATTTCTTGTTTCCATGCTACATAGGACCAACTCACCCAAGTCGATCTTATGAACTATTCAAGTATTCGCTTAGAAATAGATACGGAATACATCATGATATTATCACAAATTAACATATGAAACAATATCAAGCTATATATATAAGATTTGATGCATAAAATATTACCCAATAAGAAAAAGGTTAATCTATGGGTTAGGAAACTTTTGAAGTTCATGAAAGATTATTACACTATTTCAAGAATAGGCCGGGCAGAATTTCTGCTGCCTCTTATATATATCTACTTGTTATTATGTATACATATAAAAGAAAAGCAAATAATGCACAACCCTTGAATGCAAGCAAAAGCCATTTATTAGTTTTCTCATTCACACTTGGCTCCTGATCAATAAATCCTTGCTTCATAAACTTTTCTATGTTTTATATGGACAAAAATTGCATTATAAATTTGAACTTCAAACTTAAGGGCCCTGTTTGGTAAAATGGCTGTTAGCTGATAGT